AGGAGGAGGAGGAGGAGGAGGAGGAGGAGGAGGAGGAGGAGGAGGAGGAGGAGGAGGAGGAGGAGGAGGAGAAGGAGAAGGAGAAGGAGGAGGAGAAGGAGAAGGAGAAGGAGAAGGAGAAGGAGGAGGAGAAGGAGGAGGAGAAGGAGAAGGAGAAGGAGAAGGAGAAGAAGAAGAAGAAGAAGAAGAAGAAGAAGAAGAAGAAGAAGAAGAAGAAGAAGAAGAAGAAGAAGAAGAAGAAGAAAGAGAGTGAGAGTGAGAAAGGGAAGGAGGGAGGGACAAAGGACTACATTGCAATAGTGATGAGTGATGGTGACTGCGGACTAGATGTGGTAGCACATGCCTGAAATACCACACGTGGGAGCGGAGGCATCCAAGAAAGAAGTATTACAAGCCTGTACAGATTTTATAGCCATGTGTGCTCGTGTACACACACACACACACACACACACACACACACGAGGGGGTTGGGGAGGAAAGGAGGGAGGGAGGATGAATGTGTTCTTAGATTGCAATATTATTTTTGTACTTCAACAATTAGTTTCAAAGTCCTGTGTATAAGTTCACAAATACATTCTTGGTCTGATGAAAGCAATTTAAAAGGCACTAATTGTCTATATTTTAAAAAGAAACATCTAACAGCAGTTTCTGGTAAATATCCATGACAGGAACTCCAATCATTACGACATGTCTGACACCCTGTGCATTCTTGCCGGGTTACAGGCGAGCAGAATTCATACACAACAGAACAACATCCCCCCCCCCAGCCCCCGCTCTGGTGAGCAGATCAAAACAGCCACGAAACAGAATGCTCGTACAATTTTTGAATCTTTGCTCAAGGAGCCCTTCATGCTCCCTCCTTGGTCGACGCGACACAAGGTGGGTTCATTTTTCAGACTGGCCCACAGTCTACAGGCATTTTCTTGAGGAATGGTCAATGTGGAAGGGGCCATGCCACCCTGGGCAGGCGGTCCTAGAGGTATATGAGAAGTGGCTGAGCAAAAAAAGGAAGAAGGAAAGAAAGAAAGAAAGAAAGAAAGAAAGAAAGGAAGGAAGGAAGGAAGGAAGGAAGGAAGGAAGGAAGGAAGGAAGGAAGGAAGGAAGAATCCTCCATGGCCTCTTCTTCAGTTCCTAGCTCGATTTCTGCCCTGATTCCCTCCTTCATGATAGACTGCAGTCACCTGTGGAATGAAGCAAACCTTTTCCTTTTGGTGGTGGTTATCACAGCAGCAGATAGCAAACCAGAACAAAAGTTAACCAAAAACTGGACCCAAAGGTGGCGTAGCGGGTAAGAATGCTTCCCGTGCAATCATGACGACCTAAGTTTAGATCCCAGAATCCATGTAAAAAGCCAGGAATTGCCACTCACTCCTGTACCCCAGGACTGTAGGGAGCAGAGAGTAAGGTCACTGGAGCCCATTGGCCACCGGCTTCGTTCTCGCTACCGTAAGAAACCTGTGTCAAAGGGAGAAGCATTACGTGGCACACACTCCTCTGGCCCCTGTGAATGTGTGCACAGGTGAACACTCTTGCATACACACTCAGCCCACAATATACACCTTATATGCGTGCATAAGCACACGCAAAAAAAATATTAAAATTAAAATTAGATCCTTTAACAGCTGTCAAGGGGCGCTGTCGAGCAGCACTTCTCTCTAAGGAGACAGACAAGGTCACGTGAACAACACAACGGAGAAGTTGACTTCTGGTACCTGCTCAGATCCCAGAAGCACAGAGAAGGCAGACAGACTGTAACATCTGCTCACACAGGCCAGTGCATGTAACTCTCAACTACTTCCAGCACTTCGCTGTGTTATTTTATACTTTGTTGGTTTTTCTTGGTTTTGTTTCTTGAGACAGAGTTTCTGTGTAGCTCTGCCTGTCCTAGAATTCACTTTGTAGACCAAGCTGGCCTCAAACTCACAGAGATCCACCTGCCTCTGTGCCTCCCTAGTGCTGGGATCAAAGGCGTGTGCCACTACTGCCAAGATTACACTTACTATTTCAAAACAACCCCAAGGCATGATAGCTCATGTATGAATATGCCAGAAGCATCTGTAATACATAAGGCCAACCCCTCTGCTACCACAAATGAACTGCCAGTTTACTCTGCTGTACTGCAAGCTGGTGACAGAAAGAACCATAGAAAATTATTGATAATATTCTGAGATGAACAACAAAGGAGTCTGTAAATTTTTTACATAGCACAAGCACACAAACAAAAAGGGCATTTTAACTAACATAAGACAAAAAATATGAACTTAATCAATTTGAGTCATTTAGGTAGATGTTCCAAAATATCAACTATATTTAGCTTTCACAAAATCCTCAACTTCCCAAAACTTGTAAGTGTCCAAAGCATTCAGGAAACAGTTACCCAAAAAATTAAAAATGTCTCAGCTTTTAGCCCAATGTTCATTACGACCATCAAAAATACTCTCATCTCTCTTAGGGATAAACACTTCACTAAAGACTTCAACACGCAGTTTCCTGCCACGCTTTCTTCAGGTGCTACCTAAGCTTTGAACCCACCAAGTCCAAAGCCAAGCCCACCCCACCTACCACCTCTTGACAAAGCTACACCCATCCCACCTTCCAACCCTGTCATCAAGTCAGAACCACCTCCTCAGTGACTCACTTTGAGAACAGAAGGGACCCAAAATGACAAAAGCCTGCCTGTTAGTGACACAAAGGTTTCCACCCAATTGCTAAACTGGCCCCAAATTCTTACTCATCTGTAAAATGCAAAAAGTACCAATACTCAAACAACATGAGTGAAAAAAAAAATTAACCAGCAAACGACTTTCAAATTAAAGTAGGAAACATATCTAGGCATTACTTGTAGTCACTCAAATCCTTTTAATATAAGGATATTGATATTGGGAATTCTATTAAATCTAATTAGTGACCAATAATCGCACCATAACATCCAAGCTATTATCTGTATACACAGGCCATATGATCCAAATTAGGGCCATCAAACCAACAGCGCAAAGTTTCACCTGACATCGTTACACGTGAGCGGATGGGCAGGTGGGTAATCCGACGGCCAAGTCACCAATGACCACGTAATGAACTCATCCTGGTACACGCCGATGGAACCGTGACTTACCAGAGGTATGGGAAAGTGGGTTGCGTACTGCAGGTGGCGGAGGAGGTCATAATTTGATGGAAAGATCAACTCCCTTGGTTTTTCTCTCTTCAGCAGTTTCTCACCATTAACCGACATTCTTCGGCTCAGGGAAGGGTTGGCATTCTCACAGGACTCTCCAGGCATGGGAGAGAAAATCTATGTCATGTAAAACAAATATTAGACATCATTAATGAAGAGGGACCAGCCATTGTGCCACGTACCAGAACGTCAGACACAAGACGCTCACAAAATAATGATCAGAAAGGTAAGTAGAAATTCTATTAATTTCTACAAAATTAAATCATAAAATGAAAATCACACGTGGCACCAGAACGTCAGACACAAGACGCTCACAAAATGATGATCAAAAACGTAAGTAGAAATTCTATTAATTTCTACAAAATTAAATCAGAAAATGAAAATCACACATGAGAAGAGCGGGTGGGGGAGAGTGGTCAAACCAGTAAGAGGACTGGCCATGCAAGCAAACTTAAAAGTGTTACCCTCAAAGGGTTACATTTCCTCCAAAAACACATGCTTAATAACACTTAATAAGATTAATCCATAGATAAATATTCCAAAATGTACAAACAATGCTTTTATAAACAGTAAGATTCATGAAAAACACATTACACTGAGAGATGGTAGAAAAATGAATGAGTCATGACGCTATTCTTCAGAAACTCGATGTGTAGATTATCATAATAAAACTACATCCCCACACTCCCCAGAGAGGATGATCCCAAAATGATGATGTCAAAGCCAGTCAGCTTTGTAGCCTTTTCAAAGGGGGCAAAGCGGACCAGCAGTGAGGCTGGCCTGAGACAGAACAACCACAGGCAAGCAGGTGACTTAGTGAGGGTGACATCGCCATCACAAGTGAGTCATTCCAGCACACCAGGCAAGAAACAAAAGGATGGAGACAAGCTGGGTGGGGGAGGGGGGAGTGGTGGGTTAGCTGCCAATGAGAACCAAAGGTTGAACCTACTGGAAACTCAGAACCAAAGTCACTTTTAAAGTCACTCTTGTCTACTTCATCAAAAATGTGAGCGGTCCCTGAGCCGAGGCCCATGTGCGCCATGATACTGTGTTCCTGTGAGTGCCGGAAAAAAAGAAAGCCGCGTTGTAAAAGCTGCAGTTTAAAAGCCGGAGGTTGAAAGATGACAGTAAGTTGTTCAGCGTCCTGTCTGTCACTCTCACTGTCTACTCCTCTAAAAGAGTTAAAGGAAACTTGAAGGCATGCATTGTGTGTTAGAGTCACAATCTGTCCCCCGTGAAGAGAAGGCCTTAACTCCCATGATGTTTTAAAGGAAGAGCACAGAGCTTCTTCACTTAACACAAACCGGCCACAATTTCTTTCACTGAGCTATTTCCAATAATAATAATAATAAAATGAGATTCTTAAAGATCTAAGAATAAAATGAGATGTTTTAAAAAGCAAATATACCTACAACTTTAAATAAGTATAGCATAAGAGTACCTGGCAAATTCATATTTAATAACAGAAATAAAGCTGTATTTTGAGTACTCCCAGAGTGTCATTAATTTCCACTGGCTTCTCACTGTCACCTAAATCATTTTATCTTGAAATTTTAAATATCTGGGACAATGTCTAGAATGTCGGAACTTGAGAGAAAGCCGTACAGTCGTCAAACCTACAGCAGAAATTGCTGCAAAGAACAATTCTACCCTGGTTTAGAATGAGATTAAATTTTGCAAAGAAAATCTGTGTTATTAAGAACGAGGGACTCTCCCTCTATTTGGCCAAGAGTGGTGTAGGGAGACCCTCCTTAGAATGACAGCCCAAGGGGTGCGGGAGTAAAATAAGTTCACCTGTGAGGCACAAAACAAAAAGAAAATTTCAGGCTATACACATCTAAAGCTAAAAGCATATCATTTTAAACTCATGAAGAAGAAAAAAAAACTGTGGTCAGTCTCATCTTTTCAATAACTATACAAGGTAGAAAATTCTAGAAGATATATCATCAAATATGTCATCTGTGATTGGAGAGGAAATAAACTTTGTAGAGAGAAAGTAACTAAAATCCCATTGTCTTCCCATCACCGAACTGCCTATCTGAAACTGACTCCCCCAGCGGAGTTCACTTTGGGATGCGGTACGGACATCAAGCCCAGGGGTATACCTCCATCTTCATATCATGGTCCTTGGAATAGTGTTCGTCTGCATTCTCTCCTGCAGAGGCAGTGATGGACAGATCTCCTCGCGAGATGAGGGTGCACATGTACGCATCATGGGAGAAGACGTCGTGGCGGATAAACTCACAGAAGAGCAGCACCAAGTTCACAAATTCCACCTTCTCGCACTCGCTGTTGGGGTCCGCTGCGTGAGAAACAAATTCAGTCAGAGAGCCCTTGGCCAGGCAAAAAATAAAGAGAAGACAGAAATCCTTCAAGGTTTCATAACATTTTCATTACCTCTCACACTCTCCCCAAGTACAGAGATGACAGGGGTAATAGAGATAGGAGCATACTGGCTGGTTTTATGCCAGCTTAACACAAACTAGAGTCATCAAAGAAGGAGCCTCACTTGAGGAAATGGCTCCTCCCTAAGACCCAGCTGTAAGAAACTGACAACAACCCAAACAAAGAATGGGTAAAGAAAACGTGGTACACTTACACAACCGAGGACTACTCAGCTGTTAAAAATAAAATAAAATCATGAAATGAGCAGGTAAATGAATGTAACTTGGAAAAATCGTTGTAAGTGTGGTAACTCAGACAGTCCCGGAAAGACAAACATGGTGTGTATTCAAATTCTATGGGGATATAGTCTGTTAAGGGAAAGGTAATCATGCTACTATCCACAGACCCAGAGAGGCTAAGTAATAAGAGGGGCTCTAAGTTATGCACAAGGAAGGGTCTTCTTCCCTGGAAAATGGAAATAGAAGATATTTTGTGGGTGGATGGGGTGTGGATAGGGATGGGAACAGGAAGGATCCGGTGGGGAAAAGGGAGAACTAGTACTGGGAAAGACGACTAGATTGGGGGGCAGGGGGGCATTTGGGGGCCATGTAGAAACCGAGCATAGTGGAAACTCCCTGGAATCTATGAGAGTGACCCTAATGAAGTCTCCCAGTAATGGGGAGTATGGGGCCCAAACTGGCATCTTCTGTACCAGGCAAGGCTCCCAGCACTGGGACATCAACCCAGCCACAAAACATCTGACCTACAATCTGCCCTATCTGCAAGATGAGCTGAGGTAATAGTGGTGCAATGACTGGTCCAATCTGAGGCCCACTTCACAAGAGAGAGCACATGTCTGGCACGGCCTGGATAGCCAGCAACAAGAGGTTGGACAGCCCAGAGGTGAGGACAGTCCAGGTGCGGAACAAACCTGACTGGAAAAAAAAAAACCAAGGGCATCATTCTTAATGATAACCTGTTCCTGCTATACTCATAGATCAAACCCTAGCCCAATTGTCATCAGAGAGGCTTCATCTGGCAACTGATGGGAGCAGATGCAGAAACTCACAGCCAAATACTATGCAGAGCCAGGATAACCCATAGAAGAGGGAGAGGAAGGACGGTGGGAGCCAGAGGGGTTGGGGACACCATGAGACCACAGGCTAGAAAATCAACTAAGCAGGGCTCACAGGGGCTCACGGAGACTGCAGCAGTAATCACAGACCCTGTAGAACTCTGAGCCAGGTCCTCTGTATCTGTGTTATGGTTGTAATAGCTTCGTGTTCTGTGGGACTCCTTAACAGTGGGAGTAATGGGTATCTCTGACTCTTTCATCTGTGCTTGGGACTCTTTTCCTCCCATTGGGTTGCCTCTTCTATCCTTGACATGAGGACTTGTGCCTCCTCTTGCTGTAATTTGTTGTGCCACTTTCAGTTGCTATCCCCCGGAGGACGGCTATTCTTTAAGGGGATGGAGGAGAAGTAGATCTTGGGTAGAAGGGAGGCATGGCAGGGGAGTGGGGGGGGGGGACTGGGAAGAGTGAAGGGTATGGAAACTGAGTGTAACCACAATCATTATATACTATAAAAGTGTCAAAGAAAAAATAGTAAGTTCTCCTTTTTGAGTTTCATTCAAACATTGACTGAGGCACCAACGTTTATAAAGCACTGATAGACGGGTTAGTTTCTTTTTAGGTGTATGTGTGTGTGTGTGTGTGTGTGCATGTGCCATGAGTTTATTTGCACACTGGCCCCCTCAGAGGTGAGGAGAGGGCGTAGGATGCCCTGGAGCTGGAGGTGCAGATGGATGCCAGCTTCCCTTAAAGAATGCTAGGAACCGAGCCTGGGTCCTCTGGAGAACAGTAAGTGCCTTCTCTCTAGGCCTTATAGGCAGCTTTTTATTGTGCAGTATTAACTGGAAAATATGGATCCTATTTACTAAAAACAATTCCAAGCTTAATGATAGTTGTTCCTGAAAAAATAAATGACCATGTACTTCATAATGCAAGCCAAAGCCTGGCTGGATTGGTTTCCTTTTATTGCTAATACAATTTGTGGTTATCTTTAAATACATTAAGAGGGCTGCATCTTCGGGGTATATATGTGCACTATTTCAAGTGAGACTTAATGATAGTTTAAATGCTAAAGAGGCAGGCTTGGGGGAGCATCCTATTATGGCTGGTCTTGACTGTAAACTAGATGAGATTTAGCATCATCATGGAAACAATGCTCTGTGCGTGTCTGTGGGGGAGTTTCCAGATCGTGATAAGTGGGAAGCCCCTGAATGTGGGTAGCACCTTTGCATTTGGCTAAGACACTGGACTGAACCAAATTAAAAACAAGCTGACCACCAAGCTTTGCCCTCTGCCTCCCGAGTGTGGGTGCAGGATGCCCAGACACCTCAAGCACCTAGAGGCCCAGACTCTCCACCACGACGGACTGTGTCCTCGAGGGAAAGTGAACCTTTCCTTCAACTGCTTTTATCGGGCATCTCCTCACAGCAATGAGAAGAGTGACCAATGCCCACTCACCATGAAGAAGAGGAGATAAAGGGACACAAGGCAGCAGTCGGCTCAGAATTTTTTCTCCCCCTCAATTCCTAACCCATCTGTAGAGTTCAGATTAGGATTTTCAGTGCTGTAACAACATTCTACAAGCTTTATATCATACCCTTTTAGATGAGCTTAGAAAACTGTACAGCTAAGTCTACAAAGTTAGATGCCTGGCACCATCATTCTCATAAACACCAACCCCCAAAATGAACTCATACAAAAGCTGATGTGCTTCATCCCCTCAAGATCGTTCCTAAGTGTCTCCTCTCACGCTCAATGGCAGGCAGCCTCTTCTCAGGGAAACTGAATGGGTCTCTCAGACAGAAAACGTGACCCAGAAGAGGCAGAGAACAGACATTCTATCCAAAGACAATTGAAATGGGTGGAGGCAGTAAATTGGGAACAACTGTGCACCTTCCACACGGCCCAAGATAATTTAGAGTTGCCCAGTACTGTGCCTGGCTTTCTGCTATCGGGGTATCTTCTACCTCTCATCTTCCGGTTGCCTACTTTCAGACCACCTGGTCGGTTCCAATACTTGCTTGCACCAAGGCCATTGGTTCTCAACCTGTGGTGTGAGACCCCTTTGTGGGGCTGCATATCCGATATCAGACAGTTACATTACTATTTATAACAGTAGCAAAATTACAGTTACGAAGAAGCAACAAAGTAACTATATAGCGTCAGGCACCGCTGAGGAACTGTACAGTCAAGGACAGCAGCATTGAGAGCCATTGCCCAAGGCTCTAAGGCCTCCAGAAAACTCAAGGAAAGCCTTGCCTTGTCCCAAAGATCAGCCAAAAGAAGATCTCTCTGCAAGACCATCATAAAAACATGTATTTAGTTTGTTATTTTACCTTCTTTCCACAAATCTCTCCCTTCCCTGCTATACCTATCGCTTCTCACTCTGCCACTTTTGTGTCCTTCTCCGTCTTCCATGGGAATACCCCGGAAAAAAATGGTGGGCAAGCTAACACTGCTCACACAATCACTTCTCAGAAACTTCCCACCCTTAGCGCCCCTAATACGTGCTTGTCGATTCCACAAACTCACAACTTCCCAACGACGAAGTAGGAGGGCATTAGCTTACGGCGATGGAAACATCTCAAGGGGAATGGTGATGCCATGGCCACGCCCACACATCAGCCAGCTACCTGGAGGCTACAAGGCTATGAAGTGCTGTTGCTTTATTTACCTCCCTTCTTAATTAAATGGAAGAGAAAACCAGAAGATTGGAAAGCAGCTCCAAAAGCAAACCAGTATCATCACAGTGCACGGCTAAAGTATCGTGGGACCCAAATTCCTCTGCTTGGGTAAGAGACAGGGGCGAGGGGTGGAGGGTGGAGGAGGTGGAGGGGTGGAGGGAGGGACTAGTGCGCCAAATATAAGAGTACGAGGACACTTAACTTTTACATTTTAAAGGTTTTTTTTTTGATACTTCATTGATTTTAAAATGACTAAACTTACCCAGTGGGAAAAAAACAATTATTACATTTTCTTAGATTATTTCCCATGCCAAGAACTTTAGATGAGATGCAAAGAAGAGAAGGCTCAGCTGATAAAGGAAGGAGGGATGGTGTGACGGAGGGAGGGAGGGAGGGAGGGAGGGAGGGAGGGAGGGAAGGAGGGAGGGAGGGAGGGAAATCCCTCATCTAAAGTGAAATGTCTTTTTTACTTACACAGTGATGGGGCCTGTGTATCTAAAAATCTTAGCAAAACATTCTGGAAAACAGGCAAGCTAGACCCAGCAAGCGAGGCTGAAGAAATTGACTCCTTCTCATCCAGGACTTCTGAGTCACCACATCTCTGAGGTTAAAAACAAACAGAACGGTGCATGAGTACAGTTACAACAGGTGACGATCTGCCAGCTCAGATAAACATCCGAACTCTGAGAAAATCGAGGAACTGAGACTTCAGAACCATCTGAAGAACACAGGCCACAGAGAGTGTCACTCCTAATAGAGGAAACCAACTTCTCCGCAACAGTTCAGCTGACCCAAAGAACACCCCAAGGAACGTAATCTGTGTAAGCTGTAATTTCTTCTGTGCACTGTAAACTCTGCACTACTAGTAGTGCCCCCACTGATTACACAAGACAGTGCAGTTTAAATATTCCTTACTCCTAGGCACAACGGCTGGTAAAAGCCTAAGTGCAAGTCTACTGCTTTTTCCTGGGCTCTCTGGCACACAGTTATAATTCCAGTTACTTTCTGTTGTGTTTCCATCAGGAAGACGCCTATAGAATGTGTGGTAGGAGCTGTCAACTGAAGGAGCAAACAGTTCTTCCAAAAACATTCTTTTGTTTATTTATCATACTTCAACAAAAGTGTTTTCCTGGGGCCTCCTGGACTCTCCGTGGCTCAGGAAACATCTAGAAAAGCCCTATGGAGAGCCAGGTCCTCTAGTCACACCACAACTTGAGAAGCCCAATGCAGAACCCAGCCCAGGACAGACAAGGTCACTGTTGTCAAGCTGGTGTTCTGACAGGGGAGGGCAGATAGGAAACAACAAGGACATCATCGACTTTCACTGGTGCTGCAGTGAAGAAAACGATGTGGATATGATCACAGGGCAACGGCAGACTTTCCATCACCTAGGAGATGTCATGTTACCTAAGGATGTCCCACGGGAAGACACTTAATGAAACACCAGTGCTCTGTAGAGGGACAGTGGACAAGAAAATGTTCAGGAGCAGAATTTGCCACCCAGAAGGGACAGCCAGCGCAAAGGCCTGAAAACAAAAGTAAGTTGTATATGGTGAGGGGACAGACAACCAAGACAGCGTGAGAATTGTAGCCCCAGGACAACAGGTTCCAGATGTTGTAGGGAAAGGTGGGTAGGGCAAGCAACAGGAAGTTCTGTGGGTCTTAGAAACTTTGTCCAACTTAGGAGGGGAGAATTACGATCAGACCCGTTTACACTTCTAGAAGCACACTCTGAGGTCTCGTAGAGGAAAGGAGAGAGCACCGTGAAGCAGAAGAGCATGGGAAGCCAGAAGTCACCAGGGCGCGGCAGCTCACACACGTTCCCTTGGCCACTGGGCTAATATTTACTTTAAAAATGTTCACTTAACCTGGCTGTGGGGGCACACACCTTTAATACCAGCACTGGGGAGGCAGAGGAGGGTGGAACTCTGACGTCGAGGCCAGCTTGGTCTAGAGAGAGAATCCAACGACAGCCAGAGCTACACAGAGAAACCCTATCTAGGAAAAAAAAAAAAAAAAAAAAAAACAAAGAAAGAAAGAAAGGAAGAAAGAAAAGAAAAAGGGAGGGAGGGAAGATGGGAGGGAAGAAGGATTCATAAAATATGAACCTCAGTGTCACAAAACTGGGTTTCTTTGTTCCTTTCAGATGTTAAAATTTAACTTTAATGGATACCGTTCTTAATTATTCTCAAACTCAAATTATTCAGTGTCTACTTGGATCCTACTACGAGTCTTGAGAAGATGACATATCCCTCCCACTCCTTTCTCAAGACAAAGAAAGCTAACATAATACAGAGAAGAGCCAAGATGTCCCTCCTTGGAGCAGTATTTTAAGCTACATCATGCATAAGTAGAGAGAAAACTGGACCTACCTCTGCCTCAATCTCTGCTTGCCTTTTCTCCAAGAGTTTCGCCACGGCCATGGCCCTGTGCTTGCCAGATCGTTTGCAGCTCACAGCCCACTCACATAACAACGTCACCACTGCTTCGTCATTGGGGGCAACCTAGTGACCAAGAGAAATGCACCAACCATATCACAATAGATGGAAGCGAAGGCCTACCTAAACATTGAAGCTTTGTTCCCAAGTTTTACTAGCAGATATTTTCAAATCATTTTAACTTAAATAGGAGAGGAAAACCTCACTTAGAAAGAAAGAAATCACTTAAAATTCACCCCAGTGTGTAACAACTCCAAGAAAGCCAGAGTTTCCTTAAAGAGGCCTTGACGCTCTAGTATTGAGTTTCACATCCGCACAGGGAAACGACCACTGGACTCCGAGAGCAGCTGCTAAAAAGCCCACATACCCAACTCCACGGTTAGGTGGTCAGCATGTGGACTGATCTGTTTGTCGTGTAATCCCATCAGACTTTGCCATTAGTGAGAAATTAGGATAAACAAACCATGTGTGTGGCCCACCGCGCTAAAAACCACAACCATGAAGAGGGGAAGCCAAGCATCCAAAGAAACAAAACCTGCAGGCAGACCTGGTCAGCAAAGCACATACAGAGCGGCGTCATTCCGGGGACAGACTCCAGCGACTGAGGAGAGGGTTTGGTTTCAGGGACCCACGGGGACATGAAACATAGATGGTGGGATTGAGGGGTGACAGAAGAGAAAGCGGGCCTCTTGTGTCGTGCCTTTGCTTTACAGCACCCATGCTACCACAGCACCCTTCTGGCCACAAGACTGCAGTATTTCTCGTGAGCATACACATTATGATAGGAAAAGTAGAGGACCGCAGTGTTAGCACTGAAACACAGCACTGGACAGTCCCCACACTTCAGAACTCATAAGCTCACGTATGGTTAGGATACAGTTATGAGAGCCGTCCCAGGAGGCATAATCCCTCACATAAACCAAGGCTTACGGACCCTGACATGGACAGGATTCCAGAATGAAAATGGATGAGGAGCTGTCGAAACTGGCAGTCCACTCAAATCCTAAACCTCTTATTTCCCTTTCCTAGCTGGTATCAACTACAAATACTTCTTGGCTAGAGGGAGGACTTCGGGTCTACTTCCCTGCTCAGAGTTGGGGTTCTGTCCAGCTCGAACCTGTACAGGTCTGGTGCCTGCTGTCACTGTCTGTGAGACCAGACCTGTACCCATTACACCTGGAAGACACTGTGTCCCTGAAACCCTCCACCACCTCCGGCTCTTACAATGTCTTTTCTTCCACATAGATCCCTGAGACTTAAGATGAGCAGACATTCCATTTAGGGCTGACTGTTCAGAGTCTCTCGCTCTCTACACATTGTGCAGGTATGGGTCTCTATGTTATTACGCAGCTCCCATGGGAAGTTACTCAGATTTGGACTGAGCAATGCACGCTTCCATGGGTACAGCAATATGTCATTGGGAGACATTTTATTGCTTTGTTCATTTAGCAAAATAACACAGTAGGTTTTCTCCTAGGCCTGTAACCTATCTAGTCTCAGGTCCCAGGTAACTCAGTGTTGGGCAGCCACACTCCAAGGAAAGCCACATACATGTCCAGGAATAGCTGGCTAACACAAAATAATCCCCATGTTTTGAGGAGTTGTTTTTTGTTGTTGTTAGTTTTTTTTTTCTTACTGCTTTTATTGTTTGCTTTGATTTTCATTTCTTGGGGGGTTAGATTTTAGATTTAGTAGGTCTTTTGTTTGTTTGCTTGCTTGCTTGCTTGCTTTGAGAAAGAGAGCACACAGGCACACCTGAAGTTGGTTAGGTAGGGAGATGAAAAGGATCTGAGAAAAGTTGGGAGAGGAGAAAACAAGGTCAAAATATACTGTATGAATGCATTTTTAAAACTTAAAAAAAATGCTCTAGGACTTTTCTCCAATGTTTTTAAATTTTCTCTACATATGTGCTGTTATTATTTTGGCAGACACCTTAAAGGGAGCTCTAGGTCTCTTTATTTAAGAGACCCAGTGCCTACAGTATACATGCAAGAGGGTTGGATGCTATGAAAGGCAGGAAGACATCCTCTACAAATGAGAAGGCAATGTTAGTAAAAAGATGAGCCCAGAGGAGAGAGGAGCTTATAAGGCCATTCAATAAAAGAGCAGTCCTGGAAAGGTTCAGTGTAGGACATAACTAAGACATTGACATTTTGATAGTCTCAGTGCTCACAGCGTTTTAATCTAGATAGAAGAACTACAGTTTCATTTGATACTTTTACAGTACAAAAGAAAAGTATTATTTTAAAAGAGAATGGACCTGGGCCATGAAGGAAAATTACAGGCTTTCTGATAAACAATAATAAATATAAAAGACAGGAAAGCCCTATTCAAAAACAACAAAAATCAAATACCCTAGTACAAACTTTGGGTATAACCCCTACTCTCATGACTACTGTTTATCGGACATTGTGTTCTGCCCTAATTAGGTGTGACCTCATTTCACACAGAAGCCTGAAAATAGCTACTGTTCAAGATATGGTGAGAAATAAAGACCAGCATCCTTTGTCTAGCCCAGAACAAACCCCCCAAACTTACCAAACTCTGAATCACCCATGGCTGGCCACAAGGTAACCCCATCTCTGCTTGTTATTTACAAGCAGCTGGTATCAACTGAAGCACATTCCAGATCCTTCATTAAAATCTAAGTTCATTCATTCTGTATAACTTAAAAAACAACAACAACAACTATGCCACTATTCAGGTCAGAAAGCTAGGTTTCATCTTTCTCCAAAACCCACACCCCAACTATAAATGCCTTGGCCACCCCCTCCTGTTGCACCTGATTGTCCCTGTAGTTCCCCAGAGCTCCAGAGAACTGACTTCAACTCTATAATGAGGCTCAGGGATCCTTGCTGACCAGAGAGATTCTAAGAATACATTTAGGTTGTCCTACAACCAAATTTCTAAAAGCCTGCTGTTACAGGGATGCCCCTCTGTATACTGTGAATATGTTTTATTACCATTGACTAATAAAAAAGCTGCTGTGGCCTATGGCAGGGCAGAATATCACTAGGCTGGAAACCAAACAGATACAGGGAGAAAGAGGGCAGAGTCAAGGGAGAAACAAGTAGTTGCTGGAGAACCAGGATATGAAGTAACAAGTCATGAGCCTTGTGGTAAAATGTAAACTAACAGAAATGGTTCATTTAAATTGTAAGATCTAATTAATAATAAGTCTGAGCTAGTAGGCTAAACAGTATGAAATTAATTAATATTAAACCTCTGAGTGGTTGTTTTAAAAGTGACTGTGGGACCAGGCAGGATGAGAGACCTCCAGTTACAACAGCATCAATCAAAAATTCATGCAAAGTAATTTTACACAAGTTCATAAAAGGCAGAAAATGCAGTTACAGTTCACCTAACTACGGGGGCTGCACACTGGTGTTTGAACAGTAAATGTAAGAAAGCTACACAGCAGTTTTAAAACTGGAAACCTTCCTTAACAACATACTCTGTAAGTAGTGCCCATGCGGGATGATGTTATTAAGTGCAATGCCGGCTTAGCCAAAAAAATAACCTTTTCCAGAACTAATGTGTTTCATAGAAGGGTTAGAAAAGGGTGTTATGAAACAGGTGGATCCTGTATTTTAACTGCTTGTTTATTCATTTAGTATCTATCGAACACATTCTTATTGTGAAGTCCTCTTCTAAGCACTGAATATAAATACATTCTCATATTTTACTTTAGAAAAAAAAAGAGATCAGTAATATCCTTATGGATATTATTTCTAATATAGCCACACAATCTTTAAAATGTTCATATAATTTGTTTCAGTAACTCAATCTCTAAGGAAAAAGATATGGGAAAAAATTTAAATGATAATAGAAATGTGTGCTCCGGGCATCTGCAGGGTGTGCCACCAAACTGATGCTCCTGCTGATCCCTGCCTCAAGAACTGGCAGTGACTTGGGTAATGAGATAAATCAAAGAAACGTGGGATGACTTCAAAGGCAGACAGCAGTGCATACAGAAAGTTCATGGGTAAAACAGTCCGTCTTCAATAAAGGAACTACAGGAATGTTTGGGGTGGGGATTTGCCTTTGGAGGCAGTAATGGGTAGGTTTTTCATTCTGGTATAATTCTAAACTTTTAAAGCATTCACCTCTTAGGTTTTCAATACACACAAGCAAACAGGGCACAAAAAAAAAAAAGTGGTGGGAAGGGGAGCCCAGCCTGAACTATAGCACACAAAGGTAAGGACAGGGAAAGGTGTGCCGAATTATCAGGTCAAGCCCGAGCACAAATTAAAACATGTAATCAGAACACTACATATGACTTAATTTCCAGTCAGACTGAGCATATACCACATGTCTTTTTATCCCACCACTCGGGAGAAAGAGACAGGCAAAGCTGTTTGAGTTCCAAGCCAGCCTGGTCTATGAACTGAGTTCAGATCAGCCAGAGCTGTCTCAAAAACAAAAACATCAAGATGGTGAAGACAATGAGGAGGAAGAAGGAGAAGGATAAGCGATAATTTCTGGCCAAAAGATTGGATTAGAAATAGAGAATGTTTACAAACGGGGCTTAGAGGCTCTTACTGTGTTACATGCATGAATTCTACTCTTCAACTCTAAAGTAGCTGTTGCTATTCTCATTTTACAGATAATTAGAAAACACGTACCTGCTGTAGCATGCTGATGCTCAACCCTACAAGGAAGCAGGTCCTAGAAGGCTGCAGACCAGTCAACCGCTATAGTCTCTGGACTAGCCCCAGCTTTCACCTCTAACCTGACTTAACATGCAGGAGTCAAAAAAGAAATGGGACCATTGAGGCCTCTGGCACACAGGAGATGGAGGACAAAGAATAGACCACTGGGCCTTTGATACAGGTGTCAGAGACAGTCTAATCACTCAGACATGAACCACTGTACAGGGTCACATCCCCAAGCATTTTTAAACAGAAGAATTATCATAAAAGTATGAATTGTCTCTGGTAAGTTTAGAGGGGGACCCAAGGGCTATGAGGGAAAGACAGGAAACAACCATGTCAGCTGGCCACACCCATGTGTGCACATCAGAAGGTTAGCCAGCCAGCACACCTGTAGAAAGGCGCCGCCTGATC